TGCATATAAGCCTATAAGTATATTGGAATTATTTGCAAAAACAAAATATTTGCTTATATCTTAAAACAAAAATTAGATATTTTAGTCCATAATTTGCACCCATAGAAAAATACTATCACATTTTAAAGATATGAAAATTTTTACGATTTCGATTTAATTTTACTAATATCGTTTCGCAAGGCCCGTCACCCACTTAGCAAACTTAATGACACAAGAAACTGGTGGTTCATAGTTTATCATCGATATTATGCACCAGCTCCATGTTTCTCTTTAAAAAACAAATCATTACGAAATCCAAAAAAGATAATATATTTTGAAAATAGGAAGGTATTGCTGAAAAATATTAATTTTTAAAAATGTTGGCCATCAATGAGAGATGTGAGAGGACATTTACTTAAATATAAATTAATATGCACTTTACTTAAATATGCAGTAAGTGCAAATAGTATTTTTGGTACTATATCTGTAATTTCCTAAACGATCGTAAACTGCTATTCATTCTATATATAATTTTTTAAGTCACGTTTTTTTTTATTCAACTGAATTTTTTAATTTTTCAGCATTCCAAAATAATGTAACTAAATTATTACAAAATTACAAAGTGACTGCGAATTATTATTTTGAAAAAATAGGACACGTGATATGGAAAACATTTTAATCACTTTCAAATTTTATATGTACATGGTTTCGTATTACTTGCTCATTTCCCTTTCAATCAATATGAGTGAAAAAGTAATATACAGAAATCTTGTTATTATATCGTATATCGTATATCTTGTTGCAAATTTCGACTTAACTCATCAAATTCCATAATATTATTGAGAATTAGTTGAATACAATATTTAACACTATTGTTAGAATCACACAACACACTAATTTTCGAATATCAAATCAATATGAAGTAGATTAAGAAAGAGCAAAGAGAAATCAATTTTGTGTTATCACTAGTTTGTTTACATTTTGTTTCCTGTTATGGTAATGTTGTTTTATGGGTGCGATTAAAGTAGATATAAATAAAGAAATATTAAATATAAGAAAAAAAAGATTTTCATGACTTACACATTATATTGAAAAAATAATATATATATATATATATATTTGTTTGTAACATAATGTTGTGCACAATATACTACATACATACATACATACAAAAATATTATTTACAAAAATTTGATAGGTATAACAAGTATAAGAAAAAAATTTATGTTCAATAGGTAACAGAAAAAAAAAATCAGAAACACAATGTAACAAACAAGTTAAAATATGTAATTGCAATAATATTATAGTATAATAAAAATTAACAATATAAAAACAAACTATAATTCGCTCCCTCCCTCTAATACAAAAATAGTTGTACAGTACATATAAGTATGTACATAATATTTTACTAAAATATATAAAATTAAAAGCAAACACACGATCCATTAGAGTCGTGTGTTGTGTGTTATTTGATGGATCTAATTAGCGGGTTAATGAACTTGAATTGTATACATATGTACATACTATATATATATATATATATATATTGTTATTTATTTATATGCAGAATATTATGTACATGCTTATATACTTATATATAGTATATTGCTTTGGTTTTATGTTGTTTGGCCTATGTACATACAATTATAACATGAACGATTTTTTAGTTTATGGCAAAAACAAATTTTCTTTTTTTTGATATTTTGCGACTCAATTTTTCACATTTTATTTTTAATTTATTTTTTTTTTCTGACTTTCTTTTTTAATTTCTTATTTTAGTTTTTATTTTTCGGTTAAGTATGTAAATAAGTTTAGTAAGTTTTTCATTTAAAATGTGTTTATAGGGAGGTTCCGTTTATAATATAAATTTTGCAGTAAAGAATGTTATGAATAAGAAAAAAAAAAGAGGTTTGAAAGAAAAGGAAATTATTTTTCCCTTTTTTATAAAATTTCTTATAAAGAAAATTTTCTTTATATTTTTATACTTTTCTTTAAGGTTGTTGTACTCTCAGAAAATTTTACATTCATACATACATATATATTCGAACGTGTATGAAATTAAAATAAAATTATGTGTAAATACATAAGAAGTGTCGCATGTAAATATGTAAGTATATAATGCATGAATGTATGTACCATTATGCAAATATAATACGCGTATTTAATATATTTTCGATTTGTAGGCATACATACTTACACAATATACATGTAGATACATATATATGTTACATATGTAAAACGCTGTGTAACATTATTTATGTTGAAATGAGTGTATGGATGAAAATGCGAAATGAAAAACTTGTAAAAATTTGCTTGAAGCAAAATAAAAAATAAAAAATAAATTGCAAAATGAATGGGAGTTTTTCTTAGTTTTTCTTTTTTCTCTTTTTTCTCTTCTTATGTAAAAAGAGAAAAGAAAACTAACAGAACAAAAAAAAAAAAGATGTAATAAAATTTTCTTTTCATACAAGATGAAAATAATAGGCAAAAACAACAAAAAAAAAAAGAAAATTAAGAAAACAGAAAAAACAGAGGAAAATCAAAAAGGAAAATGAAAATTTTTCATATTTTCACTTGAAGCAAAATAATTGCGCCTTTTATAAATTCTGTTTTTTCTTTTGTTTTAAATTTTTGTTTTTGCTAGCGAAAATATTTTTACTTTCTTATGTAAATATAATTTTCATATTGTGATTGTGCATGTGTGGTCATGTAAAATAATGTACATACATACACGTACCTTACATTATATTTCTATGCATACTCAATTGTATTTGAAGAGTGTTACCAACTGAACTATCATGTAGTTAAAGCTATTTCTTTATGCAATTTGTGAAATATCATTTGCAAATCGAACGTTTCTTATGAGTAATTTTCTTAATTTTTCTCAATATTTTCTCCAAAACCTGATTTTTCTTCTCTATTTAATGTTATTCTTATGATATGACAACTCCCAAAAGCTCAAATATACCAGATTTTTAACAATTTAGTTATTCTAAAATCTATTTGACGAAATTAAATTTTTGTAAAGAATAAATTTTCGTGTTCAAATACAGTTAAATAATTGTAAAAATATTTAAATAATCACCCATATCCTCTTAGTTACATCATTTGGGGTGATTTTCAGTATATAGAATTTTGAATTTTTGAATTGATTTTATTAAGGAAATTATAGGATTTTTGAAAAATACAATTCTAAACGTCAAAATTCAGTTCAACATTTTATTACAATATAGAAAATTATAAAAATTTTAAAGATAATCAAAAATTATGTCAAATATCTGATTTAATTAATTTAATTAACTAATCACAAAATTATAATTAATAAAAATTTCAAAATCTTGCTAAATTTTTTTACCAATATCGAGTTAAATGCATTTTGGTTTTGTTCACTTAAATTTTTGAAATTATAATAAATAAACTCGCCGTTTCTAATATCAAGACACTCGCCTTTTCTAATATGTCAGTGTTAGACTCTATTATGTTATAACAATATACTCTACTCTCTCATAAAATATAAGTTCTATATTACTGAATGAATTTGTGTGATAACGACATACAGAATATTTTTTAGCAGCAATAATTGATTAATTTGGCAATCCTAATATTTCAGTGTATATTGTTGTTTTACCTACTTATATGAAAATGTATACCTGAATATGAATTTTACCTACTTATATGAAAGCCGAACAGATAAAATGTTTGTAGGAAAAAGCTATTTAATTGATGATAGAAAGTTGTTTTTCAGTTCTAAATTATAAAAGAGAAAAAAAAATTCTTCTTTAATATTTCTATTTTTTTGTATATCTAAGTACTCAACTTAGGTCATTAATATATTCTTATCTATATATATATGTACATATCTTGTATAGATTTATATTTTTATTTACATATTTTCTGCATAAATGCTAATAACAGTAATAACCAAATGGTAGGTAGTTAGTTATTATTTTCTCTCAATTTTTTTTTTTTGTCTTTTCTCATTTTGCCTTTGTTGTTTTTGGATTTTTGCTCATACATATGTATGTACATACATTTATATAATAGTTTGTGAGAGTTGAATTACAGCTTGTTATTTTATTTATTTTTTGTTTCCTTCTCTCTTTTTTTTTTTGAGGTATTTAACTGTTGTTGCAAAATGTTAAGGTAAATAAACTTTTGTAAAGGTCATGTTAATTAGGTGGAAAAAATTTTCTCCCCTTAGGATATGTGATGATGTGATAGCATTAATAACAATTTTACAGCCTTTTATCTTCTGTTTTTTTTCTCTTTTTCTGTATTACATACGTACATTTATACATTTATGTATAATAAGCTTGTATCTAGATGAATATATTATGTAAATAAATAAATATTATGCACATATGTATACATTATGTACATATATTACAAGTTTATATGTATATAGTTACTAGTATAATATTATTAATATTTTTAATGTAATGTATTTATGTATGTTTGAATAAGAATTTTAAATGGATAGATTAAAGAGGCTAATTAGGTAATATTTTCACTGTTCTTCTCATATTTTAATTTTATTTTTTTTTGTTTTTTAATTGTTTCAAAAGAAGGTGTAATAATTATTATGACCTTTTATTTGAAGGTGAATTTTGAATATGAAGAGGAGTCTAAGAATATTATGAAATGATATTATAATAACAGTTATATAACAATTATGTAATATAATTTAATTTTAAGTGATTACTGCGATTATAGTTTAAAAAATAATTAAGTAAGAGAATATAGTTTAAGATATTGCATTACTTTTCAATTAAAAAGCAAATGTTTTAAGAAATCTTTAAAAATAAAACATAAAATAAATGACCAGGCTTCGACGTCATATATATATGTATGTGTGTATGTGACTACAGCAAGCAGTACTTCATGGTACCTGCTTTATATTCTGTGAATAGATTGTACTTGTAAGAGTGTGAAAGTTAAATTTGACAGAATATGCTATATATTTTTATAAAAAAAAAATTTGTATACCTAACAATATTTAATTTCTTATTTTTTATTTTTAGGCATTTTATAGGCGAGCACTCGCTTTAACAAATCTTGGTAGACCAGATGAAGCAATAATAGCATATTGTATAACAGCAAATTTAGATTTGGAGTATTTATATGCATCACAGCCAACATTTAAAACTGATTTAGCAAAGGTAAATTAAAAATATTCTAGAAAATTATCTCTAGATCCATTATTTATAATAATTTTTTTTTTTTTTTTTAAATATTTTTAGCTTTTACAATGTATGATTACCTCAGTAACTAGAACAAATCATAGTATTTTAAAGAGTCGTATAAAAGCGTCAGCACCATATTGTATACAGACTGGAAAAACAGGATTTAATCGTCGACATAGTAGAAGAAAATTACGTAAAATCGCACAAAATATTAATTCTAATGTAATTAATGATGATATAGAACGTAATTTTGATAATATTATCAGTGACTGTGATGAAAATATTTCAAGTTGTGGTGAAGACGATTTAATACATTATAATAATAGAATTTATAAGCAAAATTACAATCATACAAATGTTGAACGTTTATTCAACTATAACAGTAATAATTATAATAGTAACAATAATAATAATAATAGTAGATGTTCAAAAAGATATAAAAATATAAATTTAGATGAAGAATCTTTAAATAGAAATAAAAGCACAACAACACTTAGAATTTTATTAGAAAGAATTCAACAAGAAGTACAAAAAGTTAAAAGTAAGTTGAAAAAAAAATAAAAAAAAAAGTATTTAATTCTTTTTGTAATTTTTTTTTTTTAATTATTGTGTAATTTGTGACTAATATTTTATTTAATTATTTTTATAGGAACTGATAATAATTTAAATTTATTGACTGTAAATCCAGCTCTAATTGATGTTGCTGATTTTGATTGTGTACTATGTTGTCGAACACTTTGGAAACCAGTTGTAACACCATGTGGTCATACATATTGTTGGGTTTGTTTAGATCGTTGTATGGATTATTCATCATCATGTCCATTATGTATGTCACCATTAATTGAACAATGTTATAGTAATTATGATGGTTCAAGAACACCATTACCATTTTCATTAGTTGCAAAATCTGTAACTAGATTTTTAGAAATTGCAATGAAACGTTTTATACCAGAATGGTATGAAAAACGTAGAAGACAAGAATTAGAATCTGAACCATCTGTACCAGTATTTATATGTACAACAGCATTTCCAAATGTGCCATGTCCATTATTCGTTTATGAGCCAAGATATCGTTTAATGGTTAGACGTGCCATAGAATCTGGTGAAAGACAATTTGGTATTGTACAACCAAATAATGGAAAAACACGTTATTCTGATATTGGTACAATGTTAGATATAAAAGATTCAGTTTTATTAGGTGATGGATGCTCAATATTAAGTACAATTGGTTCAAAACGTTTTAAAATAATAACAAGAAATGAAAAAGATGGTTATGAAACAGCTAAAGTTGAATATATTTATGATGAACCGATAACAAAAAATTCATTAGAATCATTAACAAATAAACATAATAAAGTTTATACAAAAGCAACAAGATGGTTTGAAAGTCTTGGTAATACAATTAAAGAAGAAATTTTAAGAAGTTTCGGTACAATGCCAAATTTAGAAGATAATTGGGAAACAACAAGTGATGGTCCAGCATGGGCATGGTGGATAATTGCAATATTACCGCTCAATCAACAATTAAAGGTATAATTCTAAAATTTATATTTCAAATTAATTGTATTATAATTAATAAAAAATTTTATAATTTTTTTTTTTAGGTTAATATTTTAGAGACAACAAGTTTAGAAAAACGTTTAAGAGCAATTGAAAAAACATTAGATTGTATTATTGGTGAAGATCGTAGAACACAACAACAAAATTGTGTAACAGTACCACAAACACCTTGTGATGGTTTACAAGCATGTCAAGCTGTTGAATGTTGTCAAAGAACATCTGTTACAACTAATGACAATACAGATAATGTTGTTAGTAATGATCATCATCATCACCATCATCATCATCATCATCACCATTCAACTAGCTATATGTTGTAGCTTATAATTAAAATAAAAATATAATTACATTTATATTAATATTTTTAAAATTATAACAACAACAAAAACAAAAAAATTAATATTTTCTTCAATTTTATTAAAATATTATATAATTAAAGAAAAAAAAAAATAATATTATATAAATCATACAAATATATTTAGAAAGAGGAAATTAATAAACCAAAGCTTTAATATGGAACTGTGTTTCTTATATATATATACATATATCTAATATATGTAAATAATATATATATATATTTATATATATATAAATAATATATATATATAAATAATATATATTTATATATGTAAATAATATATATATATATATATATATAATATATTATATATTCATATATATATATAAATATATACATATATTATGTATGCATATATATATATCATAAATATGTAATAAAATACTTTAAAATTCTGTTTATCTTATTGTTTTCTCCAAAAAAAAAAAATGAATTACAAAAATCACATTTTTTTAGTATTTTCTTCTAATAGAATTAATAAAATAAAATAAATATTTAAATACAATAGAAACAAAAGTAATATTTTAATTAAAATTTTAAATAACTATATACTTAGAAAAAAAAATTGACAACTATTTTGTAGCTAGCCCTGGTTTGTAAAATTAGAATTCATAATAAATAAAAAATTATAAAATTATAAAATATTAAAAAAAATTTATATTAAATTTATTTAAAAGAAAAAAAACTAAAAACAAAAAAAGTAAATCAACTGCAAATTATTAATCAAAAAAATTATTAAATTAATCTATATTTACTTCTTTTTTTTTCTCAAACATTACTATTATTAATTTAAACTATAAAAGAGAAAACTATAAAACTGTAGTAACATTCTGTATTTTTGGGGCCAACCATATTAAAAAAAAAAAAACTCTTGAAAAACACTCTTTTAAAAATAAATTAAATTTGAGAAGAAATAAAAAATAAAATAAATGAAACAAAAAATAATTAATTTTTCAATTAATTTAAAAAAAAAATATATGAAAATTATCTTTTGTATAATTATTATAAAACTTAATATTTTGAAAATCTAAATAATTACATTTATGTATGTATAGTGTATGTATTATTCAAATTAAATTTAGAGAGAAAATTTAGTATTGAAATAAATTGATATATATAAAAAATTTAATGTATATATATATATTGTATGAAAAGCCTATACATAATATACATAAATATGAAAAGCCTATTAACATAAAATGTAGAACAATCATTAAAATGAGGGAAAAATTATATAAAAAAAAAAATTTTTCTTTTATTTTTGTATTTTAATCAATTTTCCTTTTTGTACTTTAAAATTTTTTTATTTTTTTAATTAAAAATTTTAATTTTAATTTTAATTTTAATTTTTTTTTTGTATAAATTACTAATTTATAAATAATTATAAATCAGATTATTTTAATTACTCTTATATATATACATAATGTATATATATGATATATATTATATATATTTATACATACTTTATAATAAAATTTTAGAAATAAGAAAAAATATAATATAATAAAATAAATTGTCTTTTTTTTAATTCTTTTTTTTTAAATTAGATATTTCTTAAATGTTTAAAATAGTTAGTTAATTAAAAAATATTTACCTAATTAGATATACATATATATATATATATATATATTTAAATATTATATAATTTCTATGTTATATCGTATTGTATACTATTTAAAATATTAAATAAATATTAGGTATATGTAAATAATACAGATTATATATATATGTATATATTAGAATGTATGTACTTTAGATATGTATGTGTTTTTTTGTATGAATGTTAAAATAATAATAATTATAAAATATATAAAATATATTAACCACATTTAGAAAATTATAAAAAAAAAAAAAAAACAAAATATTTTAAATGTTTTTCAATCCTTCATTTTTTTTTTTTTTTTTACAAAATTGTGTTATTTTTTTTTTTAAATTGTAATTAAATAATATTATAAAATATAAATAGAATATTAAAATAATTGTTACAAAAATAAAAATTATAATTATTTTTTTAATTAAACAAAAAAAAAATTGTTTTAAATCGAAAATTTTAATTGAACTGTGTCATTTTAATAAAACTTTGAACTGAAACAAAAATAATATAGTATTTATTATTTTTTTATTAACATAAATGGTGTTTTTTTATTAAAAACAAAAACAGCGTTTATAACGTAAAATTATTTGCAAATACCTTATTATTTAATTATATTTTTTATATATATATAAATAAGTAATGATTTTATATAATTTTCTGTAACACATTTTGTGTTGTACATTGTAACCATCACATGCAAATGAAATATTCATAAATAACAATATAAATTTATAAAAAATAAATATTATAATTATAAATTTCAACATTATTATTTCTAAAATTCAAAAATAATAAAAACTTTTCGTAATAAAGCATTTGAAAATTTTGTTAATTTATTTTTTAATAAATTACAAATTTAATATTAAATTTTATTTAATTTGATATTAAAAATTATTGTAGTTTGACAAAAAAAATTCAAATTTTAAATAAATTCTAAAAGCATCACATTTGCTTAAAATATTTGAAATTCTCCTATTTATTAAGATAGTTTCTTAAAAATAATTATAATTTCTAAAAATTTAAAGTGAATTGAAAAATAATTCACACTAGCTATATGAAACTCTTGACTTGAACTCGTTGGATACAAAAAACAATTAGTTTTCGACCAAAAACTATTGTGAGACCAAAAACTTTTACTTAATTTTTTTACATATCACATTTGAAATTCCAATTATTTTTTTGTTCAATATTAATTTTTTTTCTTAAATTATTTATTCAATAAAAGTATAAATTTTTTTTTCGATTGTAGACGTTATATAACTTTATTTTTGTAACAATTTCAATGTCTCGTACTATGTAATTATCTAGAAGAAAAATGTAATATTTATAAAAAAAAAAAAGAAAAAAACAAAAAAACAATTTTCTAATTGTATAAAATTTTAATTTAAGTATTACAATTTTAGCAATTATTTTTCTTTTTTGATATTTATGTATATTTCTTTTCTTAATTATTTTTATTTTTTCTTTTGTATATTAATTTTTAAAATTTTAAAATTAAATAATTTAAATATATAAAAAAAAAATTAAAAACCAAAAATGACAGACTTCATGGCATTATATATAATATTTTTTTATTAAATAAAATTTACATTAAAGAAATAATAAAAAAATATAAAATGTATTTAGTTTACTCGTTCGAATCTCATGGACATATCAAATCTATAATTTGATATGCCAAATAATTAAAATTTAAATTAAAACACTACATTAATATTTTATAATAGAAAAAACAAGAATTACTCTTAATAATTATGCCGAAATAAATAATAAAAATACTTAGGTTCGAACTTTTAAATAAAGAAAAGAAAAAATTTTAATTTTAAAATTTTTGAAAAATCTTTTGCAATTATTTTAAAAAAAATTATTTTTTATTAATAACTTCCATACTATCGGAGAAATATTTTACTCCTTATTATTTTAAAAATAAAGTTATATTTAAAAAAAAAATATATCAAAATTACTGCACTAAACATTCCAAAATACAAAAAAAAAAAAAAAAACAAATAAAAAATTGAAACCAAAATATTTACTTTTTTTAATTACTCTAATTATTATTACTTAATTACAACTATATAAAAAACAAAAATACATAATTAAACAAAAAAGAGAAATAAAAAAAAAAATCGAAAAATATTTAAAATTTTCAATTTTAAACAAAATTTGCACTCTAAATTCAAAAAAACAAATAAAATAATATTATTAATATTAAACTATTACAATATATTTTTCAAAAATCTTTACTATCCCAAAAAAAAAAAGAAAAACAAAAAAAAAAAAAATAAAAAAAAAACAAAATGGTTATGTATTAAATAATTACCATTATTACAATTTATTAACACTAGAATTTTAATAAAATTTAAATATATTATTAAAAAAAAAAACAAAAAACAAAAATAAATAATAAAAAAAAAAATTATATAAATCAAAAAGAATTTTTTTATTAATTGTTTTACTCCTACTTAAGTTAAAATATTATTATTTTTAATTGAAGGTTTCAAAAGAAAAACTTTACTAATTATTCTTAAAATATAAAAAAAACAAATATATTAAACAGAAGAAAAAAAAATTATAATTATGAAAAAGAAAAAATATAAACTAAAAATTTTTGTTTTAATTACAATGAAATTTTTAACTTATGAGCGAGCACATTTCAATTAAAACTTCCAAAGAATTTTTTTAAAGCAGCTTTCCCATTGAAAAAAATACTATTTAATTTTATTTTCTCTTGTAAAAATGACCAAGAATTTTATAAGAAAATGGGTTATCTTTTTAAGGGCTAAAGATTCTTCTGTAAACACAGTATTAATTTAGTACAAGATTGCAGTGTGGAGGGTTTATAAGAATTGCTTAAACTGTAAAGCTGTTGTATTAAAAATTTAGGTACTTTTTAAAAAAAAAACTACAACTGCAGATAAGATATTTTTGCACATCTGCAGATAAGACCCATATTCTGTTAGTCGGATCACTTGACGTGATGGATTATTCTTAAGAATTTTTATAATTTGAAAAAATTAAAATAAATTCGAAATTCTATGCAGAAGAACTTTTTTATCAAAATGAATGATAACATTTCTCAATAGATCAAAGAGGAGGATGGGCTTTTTCGATAATTCAGTTCTAACTTAGTTCTGAATGTAAAGCACGTTCGATAAATCGAATCTGCAAAATCTGTAAAAGTAGCATGTTCGATAATGTTCTCGTGCAAAAAAAGCTCGTTCGAAAATACGATTGAGCTTTAAGTTCTTAGGCAATTTTAAAGATTTTTTTTTAATACTGCAATAAAAGTGAAAATTAGTAAAATAGAAAAATGTCGGATATTGAAGAATTAATGGGGTAAATTTATGCAATTTTTGTTTTGTACATTTAATAATTTATGTTTTTCTTTCATAGAGAGCTAGAAAATGGGATAAATGTAAAATAAAAATGTTGATATAAGCCAGACTTGATGATGAAACAAACTACTACAAATTAATCGCGCTCCATCCTGAAATGTTCAAAAAATATGGTATCCGGCATCAAATTGATTGTTTCTAAGTAATTGGGTACCTTAGGT